TCCTGAGCTCAAGCAATCCTCCCAGAGTGCTAGGATTACAGGTGTTAGCCATTGCCTAGTCGTGACCCACAGTACTTGGTCCAGTGGCCAAGTTTGGGGCCTCGGGCTCTGAGGGTGGTAGTACCTTGTACTCTCCAGTGATGTAACCAACTAGGTATCCCACTCCATTCGAACATGTTGGCCCTTCCACTAGGGCCAGCTCCATGAGGGCGGCCAGCAGCTATGCCTTGCATTCACGGCTGCACCCCCTATGAAGGTGTGCAACAAATCAATGAAGATGCATACTCTGGAAAATTCGGAGCAGGGCAGATCCCAGGATCACCCCAGCCTGGGTATGCTGTGCAGGGTGACCAAGCCACAGAAGGCCCTAAAGGCAGGCAGAAGGAGATGACATTTGGGTAGGGTAGGCTGACCTCCACCTGAATGGCAGTTGGACTTTCCTTCAGATGGCACCTCCTCCAGGAAGCCTTCCCTTGCTCTGACAGCCAGGGGAGAGAGATAGAGAGAAGGGGGCAGAGGTGGCAATAGGAAGAGGTTAAAAACAGAGGAAAGCCCTAGTTTCTTCTGCCTCCAAATTCACCTCAAGCAACTTCTCCGTTGTTCTGCAGATGGCACAGACCCCACTCCCGCTTCTCCCTTCCTCTGATGGGTAAGACCACTCCACTCCCCCCATCCCCGCAGCGGCATCCCTGCAGGCCACCACCAAGGAGCCTTGGCTAGTCAGGCCCCTGACCATATGCTGACAGCCACAGAGGTTTCAGGGCCATTGGAGGAAATACCATCACTCCGACAGGCTCAGCACAGGTTCTAAAAGATTCTTAGCGACCTGGTGGGAGGGAGGCAGATAGGGCGAGATCAGCCAGGAAAGCCCAGCTCAACTTTGAATTGGGACTGGGCGAAGTAGGAGGAAAGGGGAGTATCACTTGCAGGGCCATGCACACAGCTGGAAGGAGAGTGACAAAGCTCACTGTCTTCCCAAGAGCTGAGAAAGTCCAGATCCAGGGAGCATCGCCACCCACCGCTCAGGTAGGAAGCCAGGGAGGGGCACAGCTGACCACTCGGGCCCCGCACCCACAGGGCTCCTTCCCCGGGTCAAACAGAGCAAGGGGCTCTGCAGGGGAGGGCGTCTGAGTGTCTGGGGCAGGCGCAGTTGCTGCCCCGCTGGACGCCACATTCGCAGACTGTCCGTCCAGGTTGGGACGTCTGGTTCTCCCTTACACTATGTGTGCCTCTGTCCTTTACCCGCCTCAGCCTCTATTTGCTGCCCTGTCAAATGGGAATAAATAGCCCCTCTAAATGGTGGTCATGAGGATTTAGAATAGATTCTGTGGGTAAAGCCCTTGGCCAGGGCTTGGAACAGAGCAGGGTCAACAGGCTTTCCTCACTCCAAAGTGCCTGGTTATTGAGCCAACACTAAAAAGCTGTTGGTCTGGTCAAACGTGGGCCAACTTAATCATTAAACCCAACCTGAGGTTTGAATTTAGCCTCTCTCCAACCAGAACTAAGGGGGAGCCGCAGAGGCACGGAGGGAAGGGATTGGAATGTGCTGGGGGGAGAAGTAGAAGAGTCCCTTCCCCCATCCCGGAATGTTGCCCTCCCCTATTCCCACCTGTTCACACGCTTTTTTCCCCTTACAAAACCCAGAATAAGGCTCATGGAGTTGAGAGAGAAGGCCCATGTGGCATTGGGAATCAGACAGATCTCAGTCTTCCAAGCTGAGCTCTGCCACTGCCTAACCGAGTGCCAAGTGTCTTAGCCTCTCTGTGCCTCAGTCTCCTCACCTGCACCGTGGTGGAGAACGGCACCTTACTCTGCAGGATTGGTTTGCAACTGGAAAGAGAACAGGGAGAGCACACGCCAGGAGCTTAGCAGACGCGAGGTCCTTGCTGACCCCGGCACGTTTCTGTTTAAAGGGCGTTCGTCTGAACGTGCTGACGCACTTTGCGAACGCTGCTCTGGGGCTTCCTGGGAACCCATCATAAAGAAAGGCGTTTCCTTATTGTACCCTGTGACATGCCATGTGCACGATGGGGCACCCGACAAACGTTATCTAAGCCACAGGTTGGGAGGATCCTGCATGTCAGAGAAAGAATGCAGGACTTTGGAGCTAAATAAACCTGGATTTCAATCCTGGTTCTGCCAACTGGATAAGCCATGTGGCTGGGACAAGCCACTTTACCTCTGATCCTTGGTTTCTCATCTGTAAAATGGGGATAATCCCTACATTGAAGGGCTGTTGGGAGAATTAAATTCATTCATTCATCCAACATATATTTACTGAACATTTACTATGAACTAGCCACTGCTCTAGATGCTGAACATACAGCAGTGAAGGAAACAGACAAAACCTACTCAAGGAGGCAGACGAGCACCAGCTGACTACACACCCAGCATGTCAGGTTGTGCTACATGCTAAGGAGAAACATAAAGCAGGGGTCAAGGTGAGGAGGGCTGGGGCCACGACAGTGGCAGGACCCACACTGGAGCAGTGACCAGAAGGAGGCTGTCGGGAGCCACAGGGAGGTCCAGGGAAGAATGTTGCAGGCAGAGGGATCAGCAAGTGCAGGAGCCTTAAGGAGAAGCGTGCTTGGCGTGTAAAGGAAGCCACATATGCAGGAAGCCTGGCATGGAATCCAGGTGCTCGGCAAATGCCAGCTCTCTATTTCAAGTCCCGCAGAACGAACCCCACGCATGTGTCCTTTTCCTGAGAATGAAAGCACAAGGATTCTACAGGGCAAGACTGTGCCAAGTGTTCTTTCGGTCTACGATTCAGGCAACATTTGAGCTCCGCCACCGGTTTTTGAGCCCCTGCCAGGTATCAGGCTCTGGGATGGGCAACCAGGGATCCAAGATGATCGAGACACGGGCTCTGTCCTCAAGGAACCCTGAGGAGAGTCATGGAGACGGGCAAAGGCAATGCGATGTGCTGGATGAACGAGCAGGGACTTAAGGAGGTATCCAGGTAGCAGAGCAAAGGATGAGACTGTGGGTGGTCAGGGAAGGCTTCCTGGAGGAAGTGACAACTGAGCTGGATTTTGAAAGGTGGACTAGACAAGAAAAGATATTCTAGGCCTGGGGATCACCAGATGCTGAGCACAGAGGTGTAAAAATGGCACAGTGTGTGCAAGAAACTGATTGCAGGCAAGTCACAAAACAATGAATAGTCCTTTGTATTCTTGGCACCTGCCACCTGATATGGCTCAGGAATTCCAATGCTATGCCCATCTTCAAACTCAATGCAAGCGTCAAGCCTCAGAAGAGAGTTTGAATTTCCCATACTTAGACACTGCAGTGGGGAACCAGCCTTAACCCCAGGCTCCCAGCCTCGGATGGCCCAGTCCACACAGCAAGGGCTGAAAGGAATGAAGACTACATAAATCTCCAGCTATATTTAGCCTGCCTGGCGTGTGTCTGTCCCTTTATCCACCCCAAGGCTGACCCACACATGGCAGAATGGCTTTTTTACTAAAACAGCATAAACATTTCTTAATTAAGAAATTGAACAAAGGGGCCTCAGCCCAGTGTCTTTGTGGCTAGAACATCTGCTGCCATATTTGCCAACATCCTTGGATACCTCCTAACTGGTGGGTAGGTTCTCCCCCATCCGGGTAATAACCACGTCCACAGGACGTAGAGTCCACCCTCCAGTAAGCAGACCTGGGTTCTAATCCCACCTCTGCCACAGACTAGTTGGTGAGTCTCTGCTCGTGACTTCTCTGAGAATTTGAAGGTTTGAGTGCAGCTGTCCTAAAGGAGCCCAGAGGCTTATAAAGCATGAGTTGGCTCCTCTTCCATAGCCGGCCTCAGGAATCCCGGGCTCAGCACCATCCATTTCAACCCCCTCCAGGGAAAGAAACAATTATTTTTTATAACCACGTGTAATGCCTAGATGGGAGAGCTATGTGATAGTGTTAGAGCAGCGATGGGGTGACATGTCCCTCTTCTAAAGCCTCACACTAAATCTGCCCCACAGTTGACTTCCTTCCACACTGAGCTGAACCTTTGTGCTTTAAACACACACACACACCCTTCTCACCTTTTGCACTAAAGATGCTACAAAGGCCCAGCCTTAAGCCAAAATACTTCTAAAGACTTGGGGTAGTGAGGGAAGGGGGACAAACAGATAAGGGTCCCAATCTGGATTTTCCCACTGCTGGCTGTGTGACCTTGGGTGAGTCATTTCCCCTTCTCTGAGCCTCAATTTCTTCATTTGTAAAATTGGGAAATGCATCTTCAGCACGAAGCTTCTTTGCATACCAAGCTGCGGTATGCAGAGTGCCGGGCACTGACCCTCCACGCGTGCTATCTGCTCCCAAATTACCAGGTATTTCTCAGTAAGGCCTCCTCCCATCCTCCGGATCCCGTCACTCTAGTCTCGGAAATTCTGGGTGGCTTTAACTAGGGGGCGATGCACTCTGCTGCAGCGGCTCCGCCGGGGCTAAAGAGCCCCCAGGTTGAGCGGACACCAGAGGGGGGCGCAGCAGGGGTGGGCGTGGGAACACAGCCAAGGCAAGGCAGCACGTGCCGCGGGGGTGCAGGGAGGCTGGAAACTGGGGGTCCCCCCTGCGAGCATCCCCCACTCTCGGCAGCTGCAGTCTCGGCACAACGGGCGGTTTCTGGCCGTCGGAAGCCTGGGCGAGCCCGGCTCCAGGCGCCCCCTGGGTCACCCCGGACTCACTCATCAGCGCCCTCGGGCTGTAACAAAGGCGAGGGGCGCGCGGCATCGCCCCAGAGGCCCTTTCGCGCATCTGGTCAAAGCCGGGAGAACGAGGACGGGGGTCCCCAAGGTAACCAGGACGCGGTACCCGCCCTCCCGGGGCGCAAAGCCCAGCCGCGGGGCGCGCGCGGAGCACAGGTCCAGGAAGCACCTGAGACTCCAGCCCGCTGTGCACCGAGGGCTCCAAGGGGCGCGGGGTGGCTCTCCAGGAGTCACCCAGCAGGTCCCCCGGAGGAGAGGAAAAGCCCAGCGCCCGCCTCCCGGGCAGGGCTCCCCGGCATACCTGGCGGGGTCCTGTGCACCGTGTTGCCCATCGCTGCGTCGGGCGCGGCGTTGGCGGCGGCGCGCTCCAGGCGCGCGGAGGCTAATTACGCGGCGGGCCGGGGACCCGGGCCGGGGTCGAGGCTCGGGGCATCGCCGCTGCACGGGCGAGCCGGCGGGCGGCAGCTGGGGTGGGCGCCGGGAGGGAGGCGGTGGCGTCTGCGGGAGGAGGAGGCGGAGCTACCGGTCCCAGCCCGCCGGCTCCGCCCCCGCCTCCGCCCTCCACCGCCTCCAACCGTGCAGGGGCCGGGCCGTGGCCGCCGCATCTTTTGAAAGTTTGCACCGGGTGGCGGGAGAGGCACAGCCGAGCTTCCCGCCCTCGCCGCTCCCGCGCCCGGGCCGGGTAGGCGCGCAGCGCGGCCGGGTGCCCTCTGGGTGCCAGGCTTGGCAGCCTGCCGGTCTTTCCTTCATTTATTCCAAGATTTAGAGAAGGCCTACTGTGTGCCAGGCCCTCTTCCCAGCGGGCCAAGTCCTCGCCCTGCGGAGCTTCCTGAGGAGGGCTGGGGTGGGGGCGGGGACATTGTAAAGGGCCGGGAGACGGTACAGAGTGCCGGGTTGGGGGTGGGGTCTTTTCTACCCACTAGGCCAAGAGAAACCTAGGTGGTGTCCAAAGATCAAGATCGGGAGGAAGGAACCCATATTGATTAATTCACTGACTCCTTCATTAAAATACTGATTCAGCACATCCTATGTGCCAGGCATTGCGCTGGGCCTGGTAGATACTGACAAGTTCCCACTCTCCTGGAGACGTCATGCTAGTGGTGAAGACGGAAATAACAAGCAATTAAGATCACACAATATAGGGATCAAAGCCAGGAAGAAAATAAAACACAAGAGTAAGGGGGTGACATTGTTTGGGGGGCTTAGGGAGTCGGTTGGGGGCATGCAAGCTCTATCTGATGGACAAGAAGGGTCGGCCATGGGAAGGGGTGGGGAGAGTATTCCTGGCAAAGGGAGTAACAGGCATTCCTCATTCATTCGTTCACCCCACAGGTATTTTCTGAGCACCTCCTCTGTGCAGATGCCTGGACCGCACTCAGTGGCAGTGAGGCTGCTAGTCCACGCCCTCCTGGGGCTCCATTTTACAGACTGGAACACTGAGGCCCAGGAGGTACAATGACTTGCCCGAGAAGACCCAATTTCAAACCAGCTTTTTTTTTTTCCCCCTACTATTTCCTATGCCCTTGTATCCCTTGAGATCTTTTGAAATAGGTGTTATTACCTCTACTTCACAGACAGGGAAAAGGGATGGTGGAGACTCAGGGAGTCGAAGAGAGGTGCCCAAACCTCCTGCCGGTAGAGGGCAAAGCTAGCCTGGAGCTATGTGGATAAAAGGGGGACATGCAGGACAGAGCCCCCTGCCTGGCTGCTCTGGTGGCTCCTGCTGGGAGAGCATGACCCCTCCCTTAGGGTTCTCATTCTCCAAGGTCAGCTCGGAGCCGCCACCTCTGGGAAACCTCTATACCCCACGCTGCTCTGACTTATCATATATCTGAACGTCAGGTTGCCTTGTAGTCAAGTTACTAACTTATACTACAGGTGCTCTCTCGGTTAGTTTTTAACCCCAAAGTTCTGTTGGGAAAAAGTACATTAGCACGATACACCTTCAATCCTTGAGAGTCCGGGATGCACGTGGAGGACATGGGACAGTGTTGCTGTCAAAGGAGCAAGGGGGTTTCGCTCAGAAAGCAACGCGCAGCGAAGGGGACTTTGTGACTGCAAGGGTGGGAGGTTGTTGTCAGAGGCCTTCGAAAGGTCACTCTCGGAGCCCCACTGAGTGGCCGTGTTGTGCACACCTGTAGCACGGGAAGCCGCCACGCTCCCTATGTGATGTCGATGGCATCTGTGGCACAGTCACAGGGCGCAGTGGTTGCGATACACGGATTTGAACCCGCTGGGTTTCAGCATGTGGAGCTCTGTGAATAGGGCGTACTCTGGTAAAAAGCTACCCACCCCACCCCGTGATGGTGACGCCAGTGTTAAAGCCACATGAAAAAGAACTTGAATCAAATAGTTTCTTGAAATTTGAAAATGGATAAAAGCAATTTTTCCA